GAGTCCTCGGTTCATTGGTCCTTTTGAGGTGCTTCGAAGGATTGGGGAGGTGGCTTATGAGCTTGCTTTTACACCCAGCTTATCGAGTGTGCATCTGGTATTTCATGTTTCTATGCTCCAGAAATATATTGGCGATATGTCTCATGTTTTGGATTTCAGCACGGTTCAGTTAGATGATGATTTGACTTATGATGTGGAGCCAGTAGCTATTTTGGAGCGTCAGGTTCGAAAGTTGAGGTCAAAGGATATAGCTTCAGTGAAAGTGCAGTGGAGAGGTCGGCCCGTGGAGGAGGCTACCTAGGAGACCGAACGGGAGATGCGGAGCAGATATGCTTACCTATTTGAGACTTTAGGTATGTTTCTTGACCCGTTCGAGGACGAACGTTTATTTAAGAGGGGGAAGATGTAACGACGCAGTTGGTCGTTTCATGAGTTACTGCTCTGTTTCCCCCATTTCTGCTTCTTATTGCCTTGTTCAGTTGTATTATGTGTTATCGGGTTGGTTGGTTCGGGTTCGGAGAGGTTTTGGAAAGGAATGAGACACTTAGTCTGTTTTGAGTAAGCTTAGGTTGAAAAAGTCAACCGGATGTTGACTTATGTGAAAAAGGATTCGGATGTGAATTCCGATGGTTCGGATAGCATCGGGAAGTGATTTGGGACTTATGAGCGTGATCAGAATGTGTTTTGAAAGTCCGGAGTAGATTTAGGCTTGAATTGGCGAAATTGGAATTTTGGCATTTTCCGGTTGATTGGTGAGATTTTGATATAGGGGTCGGAATGGAATTTCTGAAGTTGGAGTAGGTCCATTGTATCATTTGTGATGTGTGTGCAAAATTTCAAGTCATTCGGAAGAGGTTTGATAAACGTTTTGATCAAAAGCAGAATTTGGAAGCTTTTGAAATTCTTAGGCGTGAATCCGATGTCAATTTGGCATTCTGATGTTATTTTGAGCGTTCCGAAGGTTGGAACAAGTTTGAATGAGGTTATGGGATATGTTGGCATGTTTGGTTGAGGTCCCGAGGGCCTCAGGTGAGTTTCGGGTGGTTGAACGGATCAAATTCATGTTGGAAAAGTTGTAGAAAATCTGTTGTTGGTGTTGCAGACATTTGGCCTTCGCGTTCGTGAGTGGCTCTCGCGTTCGCAAAGGGTTAGGGTATGAGGAAGGAGGTTTGGCCTTCGCTTTCGCAATGGGTGTCCCTCATTCGCGAAGGATTAGGTTCAATGTTCATCGCGAACGTGATGAGTGTCTCGCATTCGCGTAGAGTAAATGGGAGCAACTAGGTCCAGGTTCGTTGTGCTTCGCATTCGCGAGCTAGGTGTCGCATTCGTGATGAGTTGAGGAGCTGAAGCTTCGTTCGCGATCAGGATGTCACGTTCGCGATGAAGGATTAAGTGGTCATCAGGATTTTGTGCTTCGCGAACGCGAGGCATTGACCGCGTTCGCGAAGAAGAGATTTAAATTGCTGGGCAGAATGTTTAAAAGACCACTTTTGCGATTTTTGGCTATAGTTCACCATTATTGGGTCGGTTTTGGAGCCTTTTGAGAAGAATTGAAGAGGGAATCAAAGGGAAACACTTGGAGATAAGGTTTATGGACTTAATACTCGATCCTATTGTGATTTCTACCTAATTAAATATGAAATTTGTGGAATCTAAAGCCTAAAATTGGGGAGTTAGAGCTAGGAATTTGAGACTTTGATTTGAGAACTTGAGGGGTCATTTGTGGTCGGATTTTGATGTATTTGATATTTATGAACTTGTGATAGTGTAAGGATTCTAGTTTTGTGATTTTTGTCGAAATCCGAGATGTGGGCCCGTGGGGTCGGATTTGGCCAATTTCGGGATTTTTGATATAAATTGGTTATTTTCGAGGGGGGCTTGTTCTCTTAGCATATTTTGATGATATAAATCTATTTTTGGTTAGATTTGGAGCATCTGAAGGCTGATTCTTGAGGCAAAGGCATCGCGGGCTAGAGTTTGGACCGGATAGAGGTAAGTAATGATTGCAAATGTTGTCCTGAGGGTATGTTACCTCGGATTTCACATCGTTGTGCTACTTTGAGGTGACGCACATGCTAGATGAGGAGCATGGGGTCGTGTACCATTGGGGATTGTGACTATCCTGTATGACTGTTAGACCGCGTACTTGATTGAAAATTATTTGCTATTATTGTGTTTGGAAAGTATTATCATGTTTTGGGTTGAATGCCATATTTGGGCGTCGTGCCAATTTTTTGGACCCTTAAGGGATTTTTACTACTATTCCTTACTGTTTTGACTTCATATTTGTACTCAGTCATGGTGTATTCTACTATTTTCATCACTTAGCCATATTTACTCCGTTTTGACTTTTAAATGATATTTTAGGCTGAGCCTCATGTTTTACTGTTGCCCAAGTGGCTTGAGATATTTCTAACTGAGTGAAGCCGAGGGACTGTGTTATGAGGATATTATGGGATCGGCTGTATGCTGCAGTAGTATTGTACTGATTCATGATTATGAGGCCGATGGCCTGATTTGTCACGCCACAAGGTGGCTTGTTATGAGGTCGAGGGCCAATTTGATTATGCCATGAGATGGCTTGATATAGAGCTTGGGCTGTAGGAGCCCCTCTGGAGTCTGCACACCCCCAATGAGCGCGGTACCCAGTGTGAGATGTGATATTGCTCGATGGGCTATTGTTGTTTCATGTTATTGCCCGAGGGGCTGATACGAGTGATTGTGGGGTAGCCCGAGGTGCTGGTTCTGTTGATATTTTGCCTGAGGGGCTGATTTATGTTTCTATCCTTTTTCTCCCTGTTTTCATCACTCGTTTGAACTACTGAAATAGGTTTTAAAGATTTTTTACTGAACTAAGGTGTTTTTACGAGCTTTTACTGTACTACTGCATTATTCTGGATTTATACCGTTTTGCTGTAATATTAGGCTGTATTTTACGTATTTTCTTATCGCTCAGCTGCCTTTACTTTTATTAGTTACTGAGTTGGCGTGCTCACATTACTCCCTGCACCCTGTGTGCAGATCGAGGAGTCTCGGGTCAAGCTAGCGAGTGCTGATTTACTTTCCAGCAGGCTTGTTCGGAGTTGACTAGGTAGCTGCTCGGCGTTCGCAGCTCAGTGCTTCTCCTTCCTATCTTTATTTCACGTTGTACTAGCTTTGTATCAGACTATGTTGTCTTTTCATACTCTTAGACGAATTATAGATGTTCATGACTTGTGACATCCCGATGTCGGGTTGTGTTTGTTTCCGCCCTGTTCTATTCTACTCTATATTTTGGGATTTTTAGCGTATTAATGACTTTAAATGACATATTATAACTATTTAGTTGGTTTGGGGGTTTGTGTCGGCTGGCCTAGTTTCATGATAGGCGCCATTACGATCGGGTCTGTTTTAGGGTCGTGACAATATTCCAACAACCCGAACTCTCATACAGCTATTTTTTCCTAAACAAACAAAACTTTCTTTTATAGTTAATCTCCTTCCTCTTCCTATTTCTTCCTCTATTAAATGTACACATCAATACTCCTATTTTTTTTCATCACAGAAATACCATTCATCATCAATTTTTCTTACTATACTTTGTTGCTTAATATAGTAAGCTCAATCAAGTGTTTATTACAGTCAAATTCTCTAATAAGTTGTATTCTCTCATATTCTCACACATAATATCTCAAATATTCCTCTTGATTTTACTGTCTCTTTTTTAAAATTGACAGTGTTAATATAGCCTGAAGAGCATCCTCGGACTATAGCTTCATTTATGGACATGATCGGATGTTCAGACTATGGTGAGGCAATATAAAAGAGAAAGATCGAGGTCCGACCAGAGACCAAATAAAACTCCTGTATAAGCGCAATTGGATGCGAAGTTGTCAGGAAATAACACCAAATTTTTTTGCAAATGCTCAATGACCATTACCATCGACTCTTTGCTAGTGTTTATATATTTGGGTGAAAGTTGTATGATGAGAAGTGTTGGTAACAAAAGATATTGGTTGTCTGAAAATAAAATTTTAATGATGATTGTAGTGATTATTCAAATAGAGTTCAAGATAAAAAAAAAAGGATGAGAAGAAGAAGAAGAAAAATATGAATGGACAGACGCTAGAAGGGGGAGGGTCTGGGAGAGATTGATAAGGTGATACATTTTTTTGAGAAGAGGACGACACTTTGAGAAGGAGAAGAGCAAAGAAAAATAAGTCTTTTGGATATGGGTTTTACATACGGGTGGGTATATTTTAATTTGGGTGGATTTTAAGTTAGGCCAATGGGATGATGACACGTAAAAATTAATTAAAGCTTTTTTTTTTACCTAATAGAGTTGTTACTCGTAAGGGCAGTCTTGAGCCGAAAAGAAAACTGTGAGGGTAATTTTTGCAAAATAGGTGCACGAAGGGTATTATTGTACCAAATCTAATAGTTCAGGAGTAGTTTTGGCCCTTTCCATTATATATATATATATATTAATCCATTACCTACTCCATTGTGGTTTATATCTGGTTTCAAATAGTTAGAATAGTTTTGGAGATTCTCTGTTTGCTTTTCGTTATTTCGTAAAAATTATAAAAATGGTTTCCTATGGAGCTAGCCTTCGATTTCAGTTCAAAATTTATATTTATGTTAAAAATTCACTTAATATGTACCAAAATTTATTTAGAACCAGCTAAGTTTATTTTTATGGATCAAGCACCTATAGACTCAAAATTCGAGCACCGCCTATGATTCTGGTCCTTTAAATTAACACAGAATGAGTATTTTTGATCTCCATCAAATATTTAATAAATATTACTACTACTAATTATTAGATTTAAATCGTGAAAAGATAGGATTTAACCAGTCGACCTTGTTTTCACTACTCCTAATTTTCCTAATTTTAAAAAGCTTATTTCTCACAGAAATAATTTTCAAAACATTTGACCAATCAAAATTCAAACATGAGAATATTGAAAAAAAATGTTTTCCTCCATTAGGAAAACACCGCAATTTCCAAGCTGGAGTTGTTGGCCGCGTGGAAAGAAAGGAGCTGTCAGAGAAAGTGCAGAAGAAAAACCCAAAAGAAACAGGAAATTCAATAAGAATATACCCACCATTTCCCCAAAAAGAAAACAACAAACAAAGGTATAAGCTAGCCAGTAGTAGCAGAGGATAACATCATCAATTGGGCAATCCTTAAAACTTTAGCTAAATTAACGGTCAACTCATCTTCCTCGCTCTTCTATGTTGGATCTCACTTCTGTAAGCCTTCTTCCCAAATTCTTTCTTTATTTTTAGATTCAACGCTTTTTGATTTGAGGTGTAAGTTGGATTTATTTACTGTTGCTGAAGTTGAAACTTCTGTATTGAATTGGGTATTTGATTTTGTTGAAAATTTGTGGGCATTAATTGAAGAAGATAAAACTAAACCTAAATAAGTTTAGTTCTTTGTTTTTCGACCTAATTACCTATGTTAAACTTGAAGAGAAACATAATGATTTGTAGTTGAAGCTTCTGTAATATTGGGTATTTGTTTCTTGAAAGTATGTGGAAAGTTGAAGGATAGTGTTGGTTTACTACTCAAAATTGAAGAAATGAAGTGAAAAGTTATAAACAAGTTTAGTTCTTCATTTTACCTAATTGCTTATGTAATCTTTTAGAAGCTGAAATAGAAACATTAAGATTGCTGATGGGCTTGAATATTCATATTTTTATATTTTTTATTCTTTTTATTTTTGGGTTTAACTCTTCGTTCCCCAGGACCCACTTGTGGGATTTTCTGGTTTTTTGTTGTTGTTGTTGTTGTTGTTGTTGTTGTTGTTGGGTTTAACTCTTCGATGTGCAAATCATAGTCAGTCTCGAACCCTTATAAATGATTGGCTTATAGGTCGATGTCAGCTTAAGATAGTCAAGCTCTGATAAATCCTCTGAAAATAACCGACAATTAGTTTGGAATTGAGGCTTAGTTGATATTTAGGTATAGTTTTTTATTTTTGGGTTTCCTTTAAAAATATAAACTCTTCTGATATTTGTGTTGGTGGGAGGTAGCAAGTACGAGGTGGAATAGTCGAGGTGCATGCAAGCTGGTTAGGATGCTACCGTTGCAAAATAAATAAATCAATAAATTTTTCTGGCCAACAAAGGTCTTTTTGTTTTTGGTTTCTCCTTTGGATTCTTGATTGGATATTTATGTTTTGGCAGTGAAAAAGATGTCTTGGAAGAGCAGTAGCGGGGAACAGAATGGTGGGCGGTTGTTGCGCGACATTGAAGAAATTAGTAAAGCCCTTTATGTACATAAAACCCCTCACAAGGCTTTAACTTTTCAAGCAGATCATAGGCATGATTCTTTTGGTGATACCTATAGTTCTAAATCCAGTTCCGATGTTGTACCTGATGACATGCTGCGTAAACAGAAGAAATCATCAATGTGGAGTTGGAATCCACTAAAGGCTCTAACTCATATCCGCCATCGACGGTTTAATTGTTGTTTCTTTCTTCATGTTCATGCCATTGAAGGATTGCCTGTCAATTTCAAGGACCTTGCTTTGTGTGTAAATTGGAAACGTAAGGGTGAAGTGATGAGAACTCGCCCTGCTCAGGTTTGTCAGGGAACAGCTGAGTTTGAAGAGACTTTGACACATTCCTGTTCTGTATATGGAAGTAGGACAGGACACCAGCATTCAGCAAAGTATGAGCCTAAGCATTTACTGCTTCATGTTTCTGTGATAGGGGCTCCAAGCCTTGATATTGGCAAACATTGGGTTGATCTTACGAGGTTGCTTCCACTTACCCTGGAGGAGTTAGAGGAGGGAAGAAGGAATTCAGGGAAGTGGACCACGAGCTTCAAGCTTTCAGGAAAGGCTAAAGGTGCAATGCTGAATGTTAGTTTCGGGTTTTCTGTATCAGGGAGTAACTCGATTGAACCTAGTCAGTTCGTACAAGCCATCAAATCTGCTGCAATAGATCATTCCTCAGAATGTGATGGGACTAGTAGTAATAGAATGCTTCGGAGGGTTGGAAGTGTTCCCCACAAGCCTGCTGGTATGACTCATTTTTCATCTAGGTCACTGGATGCTAGAAGTTTTGATGAAGTTTTATCAGACCAAAAATCAGAACTTTCTCGATCTATTACTTTTCTGTATAAAAAACTTGAGGAAGGAAAATTGGAGAAATTAGATGAATTAGATTTCTTATATGAACATTTAGAACCCTTAAAACCAAACTCTGGTGCTTTGTCTCAGCCTTATGCTGAAAGTACCAGGGATGATCAACATATTGAGTTTACTGTCAGTGAGCTGGGCATGGAATCTTCTAGGAAAGAGCCGTTGAAACCAGAAGTATGTTCTTATGAAAGTTGTGATGATACTTCAATAGAAACTACTGATGTTGCTTACATTTTGGAGGATACAAGTAATGAGAAAAGTGAATACAATCAAAAGCATGAAAGCAATGATGTCGCGGTGAAGAGCAGCAACTATGAGGAGCCTGATGTGTGCGAGGATGGAACATTTGAAGAGCTTGAAGCGATTTTCCTAGACCTGTTGACTGCTGAGTCTGCAGAGTTGGATTCACCAGTAGAAATCTTTGATTCCATTGACCAAGAAAACTACATGAATCTGAAGTCCAGCTATAAATCCAGTAGGCGGGTGAAATCGCTTAGCCTAGATGATGTTATAGAGTCTGTGGCAAATGATTTTCTAGATATGTTGAACATTGAGCAGACGTCAATTGACTTGAGTTTTGATAGTTGTCCGGATTCGCCAAGAGAATGCCTTTTGAGACAGTTCGAAAAGGAAGCCCTTTCTTCTGGAAACCCAATTTTTGGTTTTGATGCAACAGATGATCAAGTGGAATTCAGTGGCATTGCTTCAAGTGTTCATGGAAGAGTTGCATGTTCTGACGACTTTGATTTGTCATCGGTTATTAAGGATTTTGAGAAGGAGCACAAGCGGGGTACCCAGTCATTGAGGAGTAAAAGGAATGCAAAAATGATAGAAAACTTGGAAACTGAGGCTTTAATGCGAGATTGGGGTTTGAATGAGAAAGCATTCCAGAATTCACCACGCACCAGCTCTGGTGGGTTTGGAAGTCCAATCTATCTTTCCCCTGAAAGACCATTAGAATTACCTCCTCTTGGGGAGGGCTTAGGTTCCAAAATGTGCACGCATAATGGGGGCTTCTTATGTTCAATGAGTCCTCAACATTTTAGGAATGCAAGAAATGGTGCAAGGTTGACCATGCAGTTTTCCAGTCCAGTTGTGCTCCCTGCTGCAATGGGTTGTAGTGCTATGGAAATACTCAGCTGCTGGGCATCTGGGGGAATTTCCAAAATGTCTGTTCAAGCGGATACACTGATGCCTTTAGAAGATATCACGGGGAGGAATATACAAGAAATGGCCTGGGAAGCCAGATCCAGAATTGAACCAGATGAGAGGTTTGTAATTTTAAGATCATGATATAAGTTATATGTTTTCTATTATTTTCATTATTTGTATGTCATCCAAGACGATGGTTTAAGTTATGTTCTTGTGATTCTTTTGGCAGGTTCACTTTTTGGCATGGCTTATTTGGTATGAAGAAGGGCAGTGAAGATCTGTTTTTAAATCGGAGTTCTGGTCATCTGAATTCAACCTCAATAATTGATGATGTAGATTTAGGTTGTGTGTCTATGGAGGATCTAGCTCCTTTGGCAATGGATAAGATAGAACCTCTTACAGTAGAAGGGTTAAGAATCCAGTCAAACTTGTCAGATAATGAAGCACCTTCAAGCATTAGGCCTCAACTTAGTGAAGTTTTTGGTTCTAATATAGCTGGCGTATTACAGCATTGGAGTGGCAAAGAAAGTGATGATGACGAGGGTGATTTAGTGGAGCTGTCTGTTTCACCAGATGAATGGTTGAGGCTGGATGCTGGAGATTTCAGTAATAATCCTGAGATCAAAGAAAGAATCACCAAAATATTAGCAGCCCATCATGCTAAGTCCCTTGGTTTAGATAGTTCAGGACTGGCAACAGGTAAAGAAAGGTCGGAATTGTTGGGTAGAGAGTGTGGTCAACTGTGTAACAACTTGACTTTAGCTCTGAGGGTTCAACTCAGAGATCCTTTGCGTGACTATGAGATGGTCGGCATCTCCATGCTCATTCTGATTCAATTAGAGAGATCTTATGCTCCTGTTGAACAATATTCCTGCAGCAGAACATCAGAAAGAAATTCAAGCTGTGAAAATGATCCGAAGGAGCAATTTTTTCAGGAAGAAACTATTGCTGGAGAAAGTGAGAGAGGAATCCATAGGCAGGCTGTTTCTCAGTTTAGGATAACTGAAATTCATGTCGCAGGTTTTAATGTTGAGCCTAATGATGAACAAGTTTGGAGCACAAAAAGACAGCAACAAGCTGGGACGCGGTGGTTACTATCAAGTGGCATGGGGAGGACAAGCAAACGTCCGTTTTCCAAGTCAAATGCCATCATAAGATTGTCGCCGCAGATAAGGAGAACTATGCGGCCTGGAGATGCTTTGTGGAGCATCTCATCGGATTTTCATATTAGAGATTCCAAATGGAAAGAGTTGGCAACAACAAATGTCCATATACGAAATCCTGATATTATTTTTCCAACTGAAGGTTGTCCAAACCCCAGTCATTTGGGAATCAAGTTATAACACCCTCTTTCTACACATGTATATTTTTTAGTTTTGTATATGAAGTGAAGATAATCTCTCGATCATGTTGATGTAAAGTAGCTGAACAAAGTTTCACTGCATAGCATTATCTCCAAGCCATTTCCTTTGTTGTAATGGTTGTTAGCATTTCGAGATGTTCGCTTATAACTATAACAAAGTTTTTGGGGCTCTCATGCTGTTCTTCGTATGTTGTAGACCAACTTTCTTGAAACTGGTTATTTCTACCTTCTTTCCCTTATAAACTTTTTACAGTATAGCCTGTGACTGATACTTTCCAAGCTTCTCTTGTCTTGGCTGATATTGAAGTTGCATTGCAATGCATCAGCCTTGAAGTATTTCCTTCAATCTTTGTGTTCCAATAAAACATTAATATCGTTTACAGATTAGTTTGATGTTCAATCTTTTTCTGATGTTATGACTGGTTTGGGGGGTGGGGGTGGGNTACAAACAGTAATTTGTTCAAGAAATTATACTGCAAAGTTGTCAGTTTTCCTCTGCACTGCTGAGTTGTCAGTTGTCACTGCTTTGCTTATAATTCAAGTTTCATGTCAAAAGCACTCTTACTGCCCCTTCGATCTTCCCTTTTCCTTATTCCTGTGGATTACAGGAGGATAGCCATATATGAAGGCGTGTAGTACTTCTACTTTTGCTTGCATTTCATTTTCATGATGCTTTTCCTCTTTCCATTGTTTCGTGATCGAGTTTCTGAGTTGACAAATGACACCTGCTGTTTGTAGTCAATAACTTGCTATGCTATATACTTTCATGGTGGACAAATCATCAATGTTATGCAACTTGTAGAGCCACCTTTGGTTGAGCAGGTCGAGAAATGAGTTAGACTAGCAATACTTACTTTGGAGTTTTGTACAAACTTATTGATAAACATGGGATTGTTCCTGTGTACTTAATCTTATTAAGTGATTGAGAGTTTTTCTGTGTTCTCTGGAAACTTAAGTCTGTTAGTTTTAGTGTCTGTTGGCTTCATCTGTCTTTTATCTAAAACCACGGAACAACTTTCCTACTGCATTTGCCTCCTGGTCAAAACAGAGCTTATTCAACCATTTTGTGGTTCATCTCAAATTTTCAGGTGAAACAAGATACATCTGACACTTCAGTTTTCCTTTCTTCACATTGGTTTGAAAAGGGCTGATTTATTTATTTTTTATATATTGGGTGGCCTGTTTCTCGATTGATCACTTCACTGATGCACAATATGTTTCAACACTGAAGATTACCATGTCAGTTGGTAATGCTATAACATATACAAATCCTGTTGGAAGCAAGATAAGCCTACATGCCTACTGAAGAGCACAAACTGTTCTAATTGATTACTTTTAAGTTACAGATAGACGTCTCCATCTGAGCCCACAGCGATAGGTTATGAACTCGCCAAGCTGTCAGGTCTAAACACTGGAAACAGTATAGATGATCCAATTTACTAGTAAAAACCTGATTTAGCTACTTTGCAACAGGCATAGTAACTTCAAAATTCATGCTCTGTTACAGGAATCAGAACTGCGAAGGACCTTGATGGTTGTGGACACCCTCATAGGTGGTTATCACATACCGACAGTCCTCTTTGTCTCGTTCAACTCTCTTCTTCACTGGACAACCTTCAACGGAGCACCTATAGTAATTCCTGTTGATACAGAACATGGTCATGTGAGTTAGTTATCATACCAATTTCCGTAAGCTGCTATTCGTGTAAAGCAAAAGCCATAACTTTTTTGTTAGTCTCTATGAAAGCGTAGTTAATTGATTGCAGTATGTGGAAGTTTCGCTTTGCCATAATAGAATTACTACTTTCAATTTCTGAACTTTTCTTTTCAGGTCTTGCACCCTAGTCTCGGTGTCTTATTGGAACCTCATCTTCTTTTGATGTGACATTCGTTTTTAAGTGACACTAGCACTTGTCTTTTGCCTTTAATATTTAACTAGAAATGGGGCCTTGATAATGTGTCCCATGGTTTGGCAGATGTGGACTGTTCTTTGGTTAGTTATGTTTCTGGTAAATTTCCTAGAGTTTAGGTTGCTTGACAGAGAGTGCAAAGAGTATCATGTAACTGAATAACCTATTGCTTAAATGGCGCGACATAGACAGTGAAAATTCATAATAACCGACCCCAACTTGCTTGAAATTGAGGAGCAGTAGTTGTTATATTGTTATTACTTGTTAGGATAATAATAAATTAGGCAGCTTATAAAAATACTACTTAAATAAGTCATGTCATGCTCGGTTGAACATAGATGCAACCAGCTTTTCAGCTATAGCTTATTTAAGCAAACAGTTACTGCAGATATATGCTTATTTGATTCAGATGGCTTAAACCAGAGAACTAAACAATAAGCTATCATGAGCTATAAGGCTCAAATCTCTGAGAGCTTTATGGCATAGTGTACTGAGTTCTCCAGGTTTAAGGAAAGGTAGATGGACAGTTCCAACTAAAACTCTTCTTCCTGTCACCCTCGACTGAAACAGAAAATATGAAGATGTTATCTTACCTTGGGTTTGGACTATCTTTCACCATCTTCTTTCCATACTTTCTCCACTTGTAGCCATCATCTAGTATTTCAATCTGTGATAGTGTTTTGAAAGCAACCTTGTCCTTTACTTCCTTCTTCTCGCTGCTGCTCCCAACGTCTATTTGTTTACCAAACAAAGTGTTTCATCAATAAAGATAATCAAATTTCATCGTATGTGCTACTGTTACCTAATTTGTGCATGTGTATAATGTTATTAGATGTCTCATGTTAATGCAATATATCTAAATTCCGTAACAAAATGCTAAAAACTATTTCTTGATGAAATGCTTACTGTTGGTAGGTCCGTCCTGGTAACTTCTGCTTCTCTCAGTGGTAACCACTTCATTTGCTGCATAATTTGAGTACTGAGAAGGGTCAGAAACAACGGACGTTGGATCATCATGAACGGGCCAATTATCGAGCTCAAAAATGTCAGAAAGCTCAAAGTTAATTAGCTGGTTTGAAAAATCACTGTCAGGTGAGTCCAGTGATCTAAAACTCCCATAAGACATGTTTGTGCAAGGATTATTTGCAGCCATGGTAATCGACTGAATTCGCATGGTGTACATTTATGTTGAATGCAAAGTTCCCCTTTATGTATCTTTCCTAGTAAGCTTCCTACGAGGTCGAAAGAAGGTTCATGGACGATGCTTAGGATTGGTGGCTGAATGCATGTCATTGTAGGGGGGCCCTTTATTTGCTCACTTAGTGACTCAAATAAACTATGGTTCTGATGCTAACCAAAGAGTGGACCAGTAGAGAGAGTGTGACATGGAAGACTTGTGCATAGACTTTTCAAGTTGCTTCTTTTGTGTAAATTTCACATATATCAGTCTCGTGCTTAGACCAACCCCTTCACAACGGTGACGGGAATACTACAAGTCAATATCTGACAATGATTGGTGTCTTGACTTTTTCTTATTTGGTTGTACTTTCACTTTTTGCAGATGCATTTGTGGATTAATGCAAGGTAATTTGCACTTGTGCAACTTTTGTGCGCTGACAGTATATTGATCTTTTATATTATTACTTAAATTTACCTATAACAACATGTAACCATTCGTAACAAACTGGATAGATAACATTAAAAATTGAAAAATGCGTCTATTATAGCTAGTTAAATTATATTCCATTAATATAGTGTAATTTTCTATATGAACGGGAGTCTTGGTGTAATTGGTAAAGTTGTTGTCATTTGACCAGGAGGTCACAGATTCAAGCTGTGGAGACAGTCTCTTGCAAAAATGTCGGGCAAGACTGCGTACAATAGACCCTTGTAGTCCAGCCCTTTTCCGTACCCCGCGCATTAGCGGGAGCTTAGTGCACCGGACTGCCCTTTTAGTGTAATGTTTCTGTATACGGTTATAAAACTTAATTCTCATGCACTTTATGGCGCAAGTTTTCATACTTATTCTTTTACCCCGTGACAAGCTAAGGGGCCGTTTGGCCATACAATTTTTTTTTTACTTTTTTCGAAATCAGCGTTCGGCCGTAAAATCTTCAATTTTCACTTGAAAATGAATTTTGAATTTTTTCGAAAATTTGAAAAACTCCAAAAGGCGGTTTTTCAAAACTCACTTCAAATCACTCACAAAAATTTAAAAACAGCCATTTATATCCAAACACAACTCTAACTTTCAAATACCATTTTCACTTAAATTTTTTTTTGTTCGGAATTTACAATTCGTATGTCCAAACTCCCACTAAAAATAGAGTGTATGTCCTGGAGCCCACTTAAGATGTAGGCAAGTTCCAGGGAGTATCTTAACATGCTTTGGAGACCTTTGTTGGATACAGTGGTTGACTTGGGTAGCAAATATATGAAGTTTGAGAGATTAAAAGTATGATATCAGGATTGGGGTAGATGGATAATGTGTATCCTGACGGCTATATTATAAGTTAAGAAATTATAAAAATGGAAAGGAAAAAGTGTTGAGATGTACGTAGTCTAGTCAGTAATGATGGTATTACATTCCAAAGTTAGGTTTAGTTTGCTTGCGAATAACATTCTTGACAGTCATTTTGTATGTGACATTTCATGACCACTTAATCCTTCAAAATAATAATACTAAAAATAAAATAAAAATTCTATTACAAGATTATGAAGTCTTGTAGTTGAGTATCAATTGATCTTTCTGAGTTCAAGCTGGTGTAGAGTAGTATTACACACGACTTTTGACAATAAGTGTTACTTATTATAAATATATATTTTAGCAGAAAGCAATTACGATATACAATTCAAACCAAAAGATACTGGATCATTTAAGATCGCCTTTTTAATATACTTCTTGCTCTGACGCCAAGCTGCCACATGTATTCAAAGGGTATCAGCTGATTTCGGCTTATTCGTGAGTTTACTTCTTTATAGGTTGATCTTTATATTCTGAGTTACACAAGGATGACATATACGTTGCCCCCTTCCAACCTGCAAGATGAATGAGTCAAGGAAGGAGTTTTAAGTGTTTAATGTGTTAGGTATCGGATTGAACATTGAAGTAGTCCATGAAAATGGACAACCATGTTCACTTATTTATTTGGAGACTTTTACCAAGTCTTTTCTTCTGGTTTCACTATATATATTTTGATTAGAGAAAGGCTAATGTTGGTCAAGAAGTCAATACAATTGATATCAAAATCTTGGACAGGGGAGTTGTATTTTGGAAGTCCTTTCTTTCCATCATGTCCCCTTGAAAGAGGGTTTTTAGACCTTAGAGA